TTTTTTTGTGGAACTGGGGATTGAACTCAGGCCCCTGCACTGCCAGGGAAGCGCTTATTCCACTGAGCCATCTCCCCAGCCTCCGTTTGATTCTTGTACTGAATAAATTTGATAAAATTGTCACTTTTTATAATTCCTGTTATAAAAATTAATGACAAAATATGCCATTTTTATCTTGTATTTAAATAATTGGACTGGTATGTGGTTAAACTTGAAACAAATTTAAAATCATACAAGCATTCATTTTCCACTGTCCTGCTTTATTTTTATCACAAATTGCATCTTCATATGTTGTATGTCCATTAACACAGATTTACGGGTGCTTATGCTTTGTTTTAAAGTCTCAAAGAGAAGTGAAAATGGAGTTAGGAGCTAGTATTGTAATAATAAAGGCCTTTGTATTTGTCTTTTTATCAGAGAATTTTTTATTTTGTATATCTTTAAATTACTATCTAATGTCCTTTTGTTGCAACTTAAGGATTCTCTGAAGTGTATCAGTTTTTAACTTTATTTTTATTTTTACATAATTTGTCATACATATTAGTCATATTCATCATAGGACATTTGTACCTGTACATAATGTTTCTTTACCCACATTCCTGTCTTTGCCCTTCAGCCCTTCTTCCTCTCCCTATAGCACTTTTCATTTTTTTCCTTCCATTTCTTTCCTTCTTTCCTCTTCCCCTTCCCCTTCCCATTTGAACTTTATCTATTTCCTAGTATCTACCATTCATTTTGGTCCTTATGCTTTTGGTTTCTCATACAAGAGAAACAATGTGATATAAATATCTGTCTGGTTTATTTGTTAGAGTATATCTTCTAGTATAGGTGGGGCTAGTAATGCTCTCTTTTCCATCATGGAGTGTCTTTCTTCCCTGTCTCCTTGCTTATGTTTCCCCTCGTCTTCCCATGTCTTGTCCTCCATTCCAGGAAATGAACTCACAACCCCATGCTTGCCAGGTGGATGCTGTGCTGCTGAGCTGTATCCCTGGCCTCTTTTTATGTTTTGATTTTTCTTGAGTCAGGATCTTGCTATGTGGTTGAGACTGGTGTTGAACTCACTGGGTAGCCAAGGCTTGCTTTGAGCTGGTAGAGGTCCTCCTGCCTGAGTCTTGGGGATTATAGGTGTGTGCCACCACATGGAGCTCTGACTTACTTTTGAAGGGGTAGCTTTTCCATATGTAGTATTGATAGTTAACAGACATTTCCCCCAGGACTTTAAATGTATCTCCCCACAATCTTATGGCCTCTTCTCATGAGGCTTCCTCTTTGATTCATGGTGAATTGTTTTTCTTGCTGCTTTTAAATTTCTTTTTGCCTAGTTTATATGGAGGTTTTTTTTTTTTTTTGTTTTGTTTTTTGTTTTTCCCAGAACCAGGGATTGAACTCAGGCCCTTGCGCTTGCCAGGGAAGCGCATATTCCACTGAGCCATCTCCCCAGCCCCTATATGGAATTTATTGAGCTGGCTGTATTTATATTTCATTTTTCAGAATTGTTTTCTGCCATTTTTTCTTCAAATAAACTTTCTCCCCCTTTCTAAGATTTCCGTATAACATCCTGGTGCACTTGATGGTGTGTTAGGAGTCTGTTCACACTGCTTATTGTTCAAGCTCTTCAGACTGATACATAGCAGTGACCCATCTTCAAGTTTGTAGATTGGTTTCTTCTGTCAGAGTCTACTTTTGTGGCACTTCCCAAGCAAAACTCAATTTTTTCTCTTTATATTACTGCATTTTTGTGTTGTAGAATTAGTTTGATTCTTCAATTTCTCTTCAATAAAATTAATTTAAAAAGCAATTCATTTTTGTTTTCTTTGTGTTTTGTGTAGTTGTGCTGTTAGTTCATTGAGCATATTTAGAACACTTTTAAGTTTTTTCCTTTAGACAGGGTCTTCCTGTATTAGTCAGGCTGGCCTTGAACATCCTGTGTAGCCCAGGCTAACCTTCACTTACAGCAGTTGTCCTGCTTCAGCCTCCTGAGGGAATGCACTACCATGCCTAGTAGATAGTTTTAAGTTTTTATCAAATCAGAGCCCAGTGTGTTGGTTTTTATTTTTATTTTTCCATCTAGTTTGTGGAAATTTGTTTGTTGGAATAGGCCTTGTTTCTTTTTTAATGTGTCTGACAATCTTTTAATGTTGGCATTTGCAAAAATAATTTCTCTGTGTAGGTGGGCTGTGTGCATGGGAAGACTTTCATTGATTAGTCTGGCGCAAAGGCTCAGGGTTCTCTTTGAGCGTGCATCTTCCTGGGCCCTATACATACCCTCTCGTTGTACTCACTTTTCCTGCCATGTGTACACCATTGCTTTTAAGCCTTCCTTAACTTTCCTGAAGTTTCCTCCTGCTGCTGCTTGGAGCCGAAGGCTCTACTGTGTTCTGCCTTTAACCACTGTCCCCAGGTGCCTGCAGTTCTGCAGACCCCTCATGCTGTGGCATCTCCCATTGCTTGCTTCTGCTTTGAACCGGGTATTCAAACTGTCCACTGTTCCCATCAGTGCTGAGTCAGGTAAGACAGAAACCAGTCCTGAGAGCCGTTCTAGACAAACCAGCACTTTGTAAGCCAGCTCTGCGTTTCTATCCTGATGGAGGGGCCAGGGATTGGGTTGTTTCCTCCTACAGTGGGGCAGTATAGCTAGGTGCAGAACTGCCCTGGAACAGTAATGGTGAACCTTTTACAGCTTTCAGTAATACAAACAGCCTGTGTGGGGGCTGGGGAGATGGCTCAGTAGAATAAGTGGTTGCCTTGAGTTCAATCCCTGGTTCCACCCAAAAAAACCCCAAACAGCCTGTGTGGTTTGTTACACTGTAAGCTTGCCCTAAATTTCCCATCTTTCCAAAAGTGTTTTGCAGCTAAGCGTTCTGTTGGTTGCTGTGCCCTAACTGGGCTTTATAATTCTTACAAAACTACTTTGTTCCATACAGTGTTCATGCATTCTTTCTGGGAAGATTGGTGTGAATTCTACTGTCTATTGCTTACATTTGTTTAAAGTTAATATTTATGTTCAAAATCATTTGTTTTACTATTAATTGCTAGATTTTGGCAATATGAAAAATGATTTTCTTAGAAGTGACTTGTAAAAAAAACAGAACAACTATTTGGATTCTTTTTATTCCATAAAAGGTTGCCTGTGATTGACTTTCTAGCTCTTTTCATACATTCTAGCTTAAGATTCATCCATGAGGATCTTGTCTTAGGGAAAGTATAATTAAGGTCCCGCATCTAGAAAAGGACCAACTGGTATCCTGATGAAAGGTTATCCACTGGCTTGAAAGGAAATTATCAAATACTCAATGAGACTGTTCCTATTTTGTAGTCCTAGGCATGTATTTAAGCTCAACAAGAGAATAATTTAAATGGTTAAGGACTCCCATTTTGCTCTGACATGGAGACTCTGAACCTGCTGTTCAGGCATCATGTTCTTGAATGAGCATGTCATGTATGCTAATGAAAACTGTATTTGTATGTATATTTTCCAAGATCTGGAGTAGGAAAAAGCCTGTTGTACTGGACTTAGATCAGTTTTCTAAATAACTCAAAGGTAATTTTACACTACAAGGTACTTTTGTGTAATAGATTTGATTCTATAGCCTTGTGTTTCGTCAATTTTCAGGAAATACTTGAAATTAGATGCGTATGCCCAAATATTCATGGTATTTTACAATTCTAGTAAAAGAAAATAGAACTTACTTTCTTTTTTTTTTTTTTTTTGGTGGAACTGGGGGTTGAACTCCATTCCTTGCGCTTGCCAGGCAAGTGCTTATTCTACTGAGCCATCTCCCTGGCCCCCAGAACTTATTTTCAATGGTTGAGAAATTAAATTTTTTTCATACCA